CCTGGTTAAAAAAAAAGAAAGAAAGAAGGAAGGAAGGAAAGAAAGAAAAAATAAATAAACTTCTCTTTGCCTCAATCTGTTTGTATATGGACATAACTAACTGTGGCATGTATATTCCCAATGCAGTGCCACTCCCAATAAGTATCTTTGGAGAATCCGATTTTTCTTTTTTTTTTTAATTTTAGCTTGACATAGGATTTTAATGACTGAACAAGATGGCTTATGTAAAAAGTAGACAAGGGCTGGGGATGTAGCTCAGTGGTAGAGGGCTAACCTAGCATTTACAAGGCCCTGAGTTCAATCCCAGCATCAAAATTAACAAATATATAAAATTAAGAGACAAGTGCCTGGAACCTTATAAGCATTTAAATCACTCAAAAACGTTAGCTAGTATTATTAGCAAGTCGCCTAAAAGATCATAGCAGCCCAGAAATCCGGATTTGCCAGACACTCTACTTTTATTTCAATCTAAACAATGTAGTTCACATCAATGATGTCCTGACCAGCCCTGTTATGTCTCCCTCCCTGGCTGAAGCCCTTCAATCACTCACCTGGGCCAGCTGGTCCTCTGCCAAGACAGTCCCTCGCTCCTTATACTTGGCCTGTCAAACAAAGAAACAAACATGAGCTGAGGAAGTGGGCTGTGGGGACTCCCACTTTTGCTGCCTCTGCTGGAGTATAAAAAGAGAAAGGTCTCTTTCTAAAGTGTTTTTAGGAAGAACAGGGTGAGGGAATAGAGCCGATGGCTTCTGTCTGTGATCAAACTGAGGAAACGCGGGAAAGAACTAGTGGACCTGGGGATGTTGACACGTCAATCCACCAGGAGCTGGAGAGACTCGGTTCCCCAGCGCCCAAAAAGCCTSTCTTAGTATCTGCTGCGAGGCGACTGAAGGGTACAGAACTCTGCACTGGGAGAACTCAGTTTCTCACGGGATAGGGGTGGGCTGGGGTCGACCTCTTCGYCCTCACCTCCGCAAGCTTCTTCTTGGCGATGGCGCCAGCTCCCACGCCGCGGCGGTGCATCCCCGCCCTGGGCCCGCGGGCCACCCCGCTACCGAGACCCCAGGTCTCCTAGTCCCGGGTTCTGCCGCCGGCTCCAACACGGAAGCCCCGGCAGAGCGTCATCCAAGCGCGCCGGAAGTGACGCCCCACTTCCTTCCTCGGCTCCAAGGGTCTCCCTCTGCCACGGGCCGGGCCCCGCTTTATTCTGGTGGCAAAAATCCGCAAAGCTCCGATGGCACCGAAGGGTTGACGTGCGCGGATGAAAACCCCGACTACTGTCGTATTGCTCCCCGCATCCTGCGCGCGTTGTCGCCTCAGGTCCTGGAGTTCCCGCAACTACCACTCCACTGCATGGAGGTCGATAAATCTTCCTCTGACTTYTTAAAAAATAGCTGATAAAGTTATAAATGAACCAGGTTTTTTGTTGTTGTTATTGTTTTCCCCGATGCTGAAGGTCGAACTCAGGGACGCTTTACCAGTAAGCTACATCCCCACCACTTTTTGTTTTATTTTGTGAGGCATTGCCTAGCGCAGTTATCCATGCTGGCCTCCAACTTGGGACCCTCCTGCTTCTGCCTTCTGAGTGCTTGGGAATACAGGCGTGCCCCTCGTATTAAGAAGTACTCCAGAACCACCTACTAAATGCCAGGCACTATGTCGATCTTCCAAGGTTCCATTCTCAGCAAAAGCAAGAAGCCATTCCACTTTACTGGAACTTAACCTGTTAGAATTTCACGCAGAAATTCTGATTTGGGAGGGCCTTACAGTTAACTTGACTTCTAGAGTCAGACTGCTTTGCCCCACAGCTCATTCCAGTACATAAGGTTTAGTAACTCAAAGCAATTTCCATTATTTCTTCTGTTTCATTATCCACAGTTGTAAAACTAGAATAACACCTAAGTTAGGACGGTGAGAAATTAATAAAGTATTAAGTACAATGCCCAGCACAAAAGTAAAGAGTTATTATTATTCATAGACTCGRGTGGAATCTGTCATTTTTGTGTTTAGAAAGCTGCATAGGTGATTTGGATAGCGTTATTGAATCTAACAAGGAAGATGCTTTGTGTTGCTGTTGAAACAGGGTTACACTTTGTTGCTTAAGCTGGTGTTGAACTGCTGGGTTCAAGTTATTTTCCTGCCTCATTCCAGTACTGAATGACAGCATAGTCTACCTTGCCAAGGAGTAATAAGATCAATTTTTTTAACCAGGCATTGCTGTGAATGTCTGTAAACCCAGCGACTAGGAGGCCGAAGCTCTAGAAGGGTCAAAAGGGGCTGGGGATGTGGCTCAAGCGGTAGCGCGCTCACCTGGCATGCGTGCAGCCCGGCTCRACCCTCAGCACCACATACAAACAAAGATGTTGTATCCGCCAAATACTAAAAAAATAAATATTAAAAATATTCTCTTTTGGGCTGGGGATGTGGCTCAAGCGGTAGCGCGCTCGCCTGGCATGCATGCGGCCTGGGTTTGATCATCAGCACCACATACAAACAAAGATGTTGTATCCGCC